TGGCCTGCTTGTTGATGACAATGAAGTTAATCTGTTGGCCGATTTTCATACCAAGACAGATCTTGGTGAAGGATGTGTTCCAGTAGGTCGGTAACTTGGTCTCCTGTGCATCAAACCCAGTCTCCCCTCCGGGAAGGTTGTATTCGCTTTTATCGCTCCAGTACCCCGAGCCATAATGAAAAGTGGTCTGAGAAAAGGAGGGAAATATTCATATACCATTTATGGACCTTACTGAGCTTTAGTTTAATAGATATAGTTAGTTAGATAGTCAGTCAGTCAGTCAGACTCTAATGTAACCCATAGTACACTGGAATTTTGTGATTTTCTGACGGTTTTTTGAGAAACGATACCGTTCAACTTTGAGTGATTAGAGCACCACCATAATCAGTCCAACAGAAAATCGAACGTTACCGGTGTACTAGAGCAAGATTAAAGTCTTAAGTGGGGTACATTTTATCAGGATCTGAGTTACCGTAGCAACGAAATGACGCCATACCCCATTTCACATAAGACCGAATAACTTTCCATCAGGGATAATTTTCGAAATACGACGTCGGGATCTCGGACGTTGCATAGTTGTCTTAATGATGTCAACATTGTAAAAAACAAAAATCTCTAACGCGTTTTCGAGAAAATTGCGAGGGAAGTTTCAAGATGTCAAAACATAGTTAGTAGAGGGGAATTGTTATGAAACTCAACAAAGTTCTTTGTTGTATGTTTTTGTTCTCTTTTTTGGCCTTGTCTGTGCATAAAACAGTGACAAAAACACAATAGTTGCTTACTTCTGACTAACGGACTAACCAATAGAAACGTTCATAAAATACCCTGTGCCGATTGTGATTGGTGTTATGTAGGCGAAACTGGCCGGTGTTTTGAAACTCGTAAGAAAGAACATATCAGGACTGTCAAAACACGTGCTAATGGATCAAACATTGCGAAACATGCGTGGTCATTCGACCATCGCATAGATTTTGTAGCGCCCGCTTTTCGGTATGAAACGGGGCGCGAGAACGCAGTAGTACGAGTCATACGTCTAACAATCTAATCCGTTTATTCAGTAACGATGTTGAGACAACTTAAGGCTTACAAATCATCCGGGTTCAGGACTGTCAAAGACTGTAATGAACCATACTCATAAGTGGCTTCGGGTGAAGCTAAAACTAAACTAGGTAGCGACAAAGGCCCTTTTCACATTAGAAAAACTTTGGAGGCTTGGCACACCTCTGCTGCCAAGCATGCTGACAATATTTCTAAGCCGATCCCAAACCAGTATGGTATTCATTTTAAACAATAGTCACCTAATTTACACATTTTCACTCTGCTTTTGTTCTTCTTCTTACTTTTTTCTCGCCTTTTCTTGCATATATTTTATTATTTTGCATTCCATTTTTTATCCGTCGAAGGCTGTAGATTGACAGCCGAAAGCCCATATTCTTTTTTGAAATTTTTTGCTAGCAAACAGTTTTTATCGTATAAATTTAGAAACGTTTTGGTTACGTAATTCATGCATAGTGTATGTGTGCGAAACAAAAGATTTTGCACGGTCGAGGACCTTCCAACATAAATCTTGGCATTTTTGTTTGCTCCTTTGATGTTTGCGGGCTTCATAACCATTCCTCTAGGCCTCTATTAACTATGGTCAAAATTAAACAAAGGCAAAACAGTTTTCAATGTTATTGGAAAAAAATGTTCGCAAGACTCGACTAAATGGCATCATTTTAGTCATAAATGAATCACATAAAATCTGATTTTCTTGAGTGAAAATCTCAGAGAAATCGACCAGTTTGATTTTCAGAAACACTGGCTTGAATATCAACTGGTCGGCAATTTAAATACATATGAATTTTTTTAAAACTTGGCTCTCAATTGCAAAAAAAATCAATCAATATTGAATGGAACCATGGAGTTTCAACTTCATTGAAACATTTTAAGCCCTTTAATTTTTATCCTCAAATCAGGAAAATATTCCGCTGATTTTGACACTTGTGGTTATTTGTTTTCATTAACATTTTCTATTGTCTCGAATCGCCATGCCAATGTATATTTTCGGCTTAAGATGGCGGATCCAAGATGCCGGGTCAAATGACCTCATTTGGCATCCGAATGACGTCATAACCAACGAAAATCGTATCATCTTGTAGAACAAGCTCCCTCTCCCCCCTTGAGTCACGGTCGGGGTATGAGTTAGCTTGTACGTCCGAGGGTTAAATCAGAAATAAAACTAAAACGATACTCAGTTGAAAATCGCCCTTTCTAGTTTGCGTAATTTGTGTAATAAAAGAGAGAAAACGATCGTTCTGAAAGGGGCTGAGTCACGCAATTTTAGGCAATTTCAGCACTGATCAAATGGTCATAGAATTAACTAAAATATCACAAAAACGGCTCAAAACTATAGAAGTTCTCAAACAAAACACCGGAAAACCAAGAAGGGACACGGATGGACAAAACTGGAGAGGATTAAAGTGCATTGCATTTGGGTAAATTTGAAAAACGTCGGCCCACCTTTTTTTCAAATTTATATCAGTTTATATCAAAATGTCATTTGCACAACTGGCAAATCATTCTCAGTTGTTATGTGGCCGTGATTTTGCAAATGAAACACTCTTGCTCTGCCAATTTGACGTTCAGAGCTCATAATTAACAAAATTAAACAAAATTACCTAAAATAGCGTGACCTAGCCCCTTGAAGCAACTGACCAGTTTTCACTATTGCGATCATTGAGAACATACGGAAACCACTGTCCAGTGATCGCAGCGATCTTAACGAGCTTCACCCAAAATTATACTCAAGATATAAAATGTTTCTGTTTTGTTTTTAGTAGGAAGAAAATTTCCAGTTTATAAATTGTGAAGTATTTGAGAAAGAAACTTTTGTGAGCAATTGAACATAAGCAATATATTAGCGGGGATTGAGGTTTATTTTACGACCTTAACTTCCCAAAAACGTTCTTTCTCAAATGCGAGTCTGGATGGGGGAGTTGTAATCTCATCAGTTAATTGTTAAGTTTTTCCAATCTCTCAGTTATCTGTTAATTATGGACCTTACTGAGTTTTAATTAATATGGTTATTTATTTATTTATTTATTTAT